TACTATACTGTCATTCCTAGCGAGGGCCATTTAAGGGAGAAGGAAAAACAAACAAAATACTTCTCATCTTTTTCTACTTAAGCTAGTCTCCTGATCTGACACCCATCAGTGTTTTCAAACATCTTTTTCATGTTTATCCAAAGTGGAGAAAAATCTGGATTTGCACCAACCTGTCTCCCTATTAGTATAAGGGAATCCATATGATGACCTCCACATCTAAGTGCTGTCCCAGACCTTTCCCTCTTTTACTGTGGGTCTTTAAAATCCTTGCAAAGTGCAAAATGTTCGAGATAAACACAGAGACATGGACATTTAATGGAAGGAAATATCCACAATTTTGTTCTGGTGTGGACAAGTGCTTAGTTTCTTTCCTTTTGAAATCTAAGTTCACTACTTTCTATATAACTTATTCCATCAGCTTTGCTATCTTCATGTCTGATTTTCCTCATGTCCACATGTCTTTACAGGCAACATTTTCAAACATGAGGCTTTCTGCTTACTTATTTATTTAGGCTTTAATTTCTGATATTCTTTTTAGAGTTATGGTACCTTATAAATATTATGCCTGCCTATATGCAAATGTGGTGTATGTAAAGAAAACATGACCCACTGATTCCAAGACAGGCAGAATTTTTCATCAAGGGAGGAGGAAATGTGGATATACTGTGAAGAAGTGAGGACAACAGAAGAATTAAAAAGTCAGTGATTGAGAAAGATAGGAGCCCTCTTTGGGCATTCAGGCTAGACACATAAGCACAAAAAGTATGTTAGTGTGTGAACGAGGTGTCCCTTCTCCAAAGGAGGCTGGGTGTGCAACCACTTCAGCACTGACATTTATATATTTAGCATGATGATCTGAAGGGGGCTTGCAAGTGTGTTTTCCTGAAAAGTAAAAGTAAGGGATCTTGATCCCAAAGAAGCTTTCAAATATATCAGACAAACATGCTAACAGGCCCACATTGGACCTTTTCATAATATACATGGTGGTCAGGAAAGGAGGTTGTGTGCATTCCCTGTCCCTCTAAACTCATTTGCTGCAATTCACCCCCTACATACATTGTTTGAGAAGTCTATTTCTTGCATTACTCACACTTGAACATCAAACTCATCCTGGGAAGGGTGTTTGCTGAAGAGAACATCTGAAGAAATGTAAATTATCTGAGAAGCAATTCCACCAATGAGAAGGCTACCTGATTGATACCACTCATGTGGAATATGGAGAGGATCGTTCATACGGCACTTCATGGTATCAACATTGAATATCATGTGAGATAGCAGAAGCAGCAACACCACTGTTCTCACCATTTTGACAGCAAGGCTTGTCAAACTCTCCTGTGTCCTTCTATAGCAGCAGCTTGTTACATGGAACAGGCTACAGTTTATGATGGCTTATTCTGTCAATAGGCTTCCTGAAGATAATTTCTCCCCCCATTGGTAACAGAATACTAGTACTTGAATTGTCATGTCTCAACTATAACATAAAAAAGACAAACAGACACTCTGTTCTCAGTTTGTTTTCAAACAAAACAAAAACAAAAACAGAGAGAGCCCGGAACACAACTCCTAGATCTCAATGGTATAGGAGTTTTTATAGGCTTTCTTGTCGATTTTTCTTCTGGAAAGCCACAGGAGATGAGAAGTAATGATAATGATTAGTGACTGTTAATTATAGGGGAGATAATGAACTGTCAGGAGTCCAGGTTCCCAGCTTGATAACACAGTAAGCACAGGATTTATTGCAAAAAAATAATAATAAATCAACAGATAGCTCCGGACGGCTCTAACAAAGCCTCCAGCATCATTACTCAAGATGACCCTTCTAAAGAGTCCTTCCGAGATCTACAGAAGATATTGAACTTACGACTCTAACGTCTCTTGTTTTGCTTCCTGTCTAACAACCCTCCCATTCACCAGCTTTTTGGACTAATTGTCTTAGCTCCAACCTCTTCCTGTTCCGACAAACTATCTCCTTGCCTGTTTGCACCTAACTGATCTTCCAGAGAGCTTTGGCTATGTTCTGGCTCACTCTCCGTTGTTCCCTTGGCAATCGGCATTCCAATGCCTGTGGGAGTTGCACTGGGCACTGTTCAGCCTGCTGCAGATCTAACTCTCTCTGTTCTGCAGCAGGCTGTGGAGTTTCACTAGGAGCTGCCTCATTCCTGACACAAACTCTGCAAAGGATGGGGTCTGAGTGACACCACTGCTAGAAAGCTCTCCCACTGCTTCCCACTGCTTCCCACTGCTACCCTTTCAATTATATGAGAATTATTAATGCATGCCTCTCCCCTCCCCCCAGTCTTTCACTTGTCCTACTGCTTTTTCCTGGGAAAACCCGAGCTTTACTGCTGAATCAGAGCAAACATTATTTGGGTTTTCCATAGATTGACATTTTATCTGTTTTAGTGTCAAGGAGCAGGTTTTCACATGGAAAGTGGCAAGGCAAACAGAAAACTGCACAGGCCCATGCTTAGAAAGCAAAGGACAAGTGGAAAACCACTTGAACCCATGCTTCCTAGGCACGGGACAGGTGGAAGTGTGGACAAGTGATAGGTCTCAATACAAGCCTTAGTCCATACTGAATAGTGTTCTCGAAGCTCATGAATTTGACCAAACTGCGGGAGGCAAGACAGGAGTGCCTGGCGTGCTCTGGTCTGTGGGGTCACGAGAGTCAGACACAACTAAATGACTAAACGACAACAAGATAGTGGTCATCATGATACCTTATGTTGAATCATTCTTTGGTGTAATAGATGGTAGACTTTTCACAGAGCTGAGATTGCCTCAAGCTCCATGTCAAGTGTTCACTGAGTGACAAACCCAGGTTTGCTAAAGCAAATCAAAACAGAAAAAAAGACCCTGGCTATTCAAACAAAAAAATAAAATAGAAGGGACTTGTTAAATAAACTGCAAATAATAAATATGTTATCATTCAGCCTATTTATTGATGAAACCTGGTCGTTACATTGCCAATGAATATTTAATATTTGCAATATTTAATACAAACAATTCATAAGAAAAAATGCTGTGCCTTCTCATAAGTGAAAGAAAAAAACAAAAATCAGGGAACCAGAAAAGTACAAATTTAACACAGAATGAGAAGGACGAAGTCAACACAGTACAGGAAATATTCTCAATGTTATTCAGGAGATTTCTATGAATACCTGCAATGTCAGCTGCATTATGCTTCATTAAACGATTAATATCATTTGCAATAATTTGGATATTCAAATATGGGACCAATGCTTATAAACGACTTCTGTTTCCTTCTGTCATGTTGTTTGAGTTAAAGAAAGGTCAACATATACCAAGGATGCATAACATAGTATCCCTGCAGACTGGGGAAAAAACAGAGGGGGAAAGCCCACAAATGTATCCAAAATGAATTTCTGCTACTTGAACTAGGATTATAGAAATACCTACTGCCTTCTCCAATTCAGTGGCATACTGCCTTTAAGACTTTTTAAAGAAATGTAAGTTGTTTCCTTCACCATATTTAGTGTACATTCATTCCATAGGTTAACTATATACTGTATGGTCCAGAAGGAGTTCTGGTATGCATCCTTTTAGGGAGCACTCTTATAGCAACATCCACCTGCATGAGTCAGGTTAGGATCCCACAGATCTCCAGATGAACCAGGAGGCTCTTTGTGCATCTATGTTATTACATCAGGCTAAACCTAACAGCCTGAGCCAAGCCCTGTGTATCTTAAGCTGGTGTAAGTACCCAAAACGAGTGGCTGGGGAAACCCAGCCAGATGGGCAGTGTATAAATAATATATTATTATTATTATTATTATTATTATTATTATTATTATTATTATTATGGGGTTACAGACTAGAGATAAAGGACTTTGGTTGGAATGTAAGTATGGTCAGCTCAGTCACATGACCTGACAGCCCAACATAAGCTAAGCCAGTAAAAATGATGCTGTGACTCAAACACTATTTTAATGGCCTATTTTCCCTCTGCTAGGCTTATGTCATCTAAACCAGCATTAGCTGTGCTCCTGAACAGCATTTGGATCTGACGTACTTTATGCTGACTTGTGGATCGAGGGCCCGACCCCGCTATGTGAAATAAATACACAAGGACACGTGATATAAGGTTAATGGGCAAGAAAAGGCCACAACTTTATTGATTACAGCAGTGAAAAGGTATTGGCTTAGGCATTGGATGACTATAGGTGGTGGGTTTATTCAACAGTAGGTGGAGCCTGTTGATGCTCATCCAACTATAGGCTCACCCCCTGATGTCACCGAGGGTCGTGCCATGGCCTCCCGCCAAGCAGGCATCGGACGGAATACACGACCGCCGGATTCCTTTAACGGAATAACCCACGGTAGATAGCATAGGCGATGGCCACACCTAGCCCTTGACACAGCACAACACATGAATCCAATGCCTAACCTACCCACCAATACCACAAAAGTTGTGACGATTGCTACGAGGTAGGCAAAAAAACCAAAAGGCCTAATGCCAAATGGAAAAATTCCTACCAGGCCCCCCAGCCAACCAGGGCGACCAACCTAAGGTCCATAGCAAGGCCAAAAATCTATACCCTGAGCTAAATGGGAGTGGAGGGTGGGTGACTCGCTGAGGGACGACGACGAATGAGGAGGAGGCGGAGCTGGCACCACAGCATTAAGCTGCTACACACGCCCCCCGGAGGCACCTGGTTGGCCACCTCCGGTGGGCATGGGTGCCAGCCAGGTAGGAGGGGAAGGGGCTAATGCCCCCTACCGGGGGCGGAGCTCGGTCTCCCGCCCACAACCACTCCCCTCTCTTCCAGGGAGGAGAGTCTTTAGCATATGTTGGGTTTGCTTTATTTCAGTTTCTTATCATAGAATAGAATCATAGAGTTGGAAGAGACCACAAGGGCCATCGAGTCCAACCCCCTGCCAAGCAGGAAACACTTAGGATGTTCCCCTTAAAGTACAAACTCAGTTTTTCATTTGGCCTTTCCAGATGTATTTTTTACAAAAAATGTGCCTGTGTTCAGTTATGCAATGAGACTTTTAATTTTTTTAGGTATTAGCCACACTGCATTCTGTATGTCCTTGTTTCTGAAGCTGTAAATGATGGGATTCAGAACCGGTGGCAACACTGTATACAATACAGCAGAAACCAAGTCCACAGCAGGGGAGGAAAGGGATTTAGGTCTCAAGGTCGAAAACACAGCTGTTATTATAAATAAAGAAAAGACTGTCAGGTGGGGAGTGCAGGTAGAGAAAGCTTTATACCTGCCTTGAGCTGATGGAATCCTCAGCACAACTGAGAAGATGAAGCCATAAGAAACAAAGATGAACACAATACAAAAGGAGGCCACAATGAGCCCAATGACAAATGGCAAAACTTCACTAACTTTAGTATCGCTGCAAGAAATCTTTTGTAACTGAGGCAAATCACAGAAAAACTGCCCAATAATATTGGAGTGGCAGAAGCTTAATCTAAACGTGACCGTGGTTTCCAATAATGCATTAACCATGCTGCTCAGCCAGGAAGCAGCTGCCATTTGGATGCAGGCCTCCCAGTTCATGATTAGACGATATTGTAGTGGGTAGCAGATTGCTATGTAACGGTCGTAAGCCATGACTGTGAGCAAGGCAATCTCAGTTCCAGCAAATGTGATCACTAAGAAGACCTGTGTGACACATCCAGCGAAAGAAATCAGTTTGTTGTTTGTCAGTGAAATGGCTATGGATTTGGGTACAGTAGTAGAGATATAGCAAACATCTAAAAATGACAAGCTTGTCAAAAAGAAATACATGGGGCTGTGTAGGTGGTGGTCTAAGGCCACAGTAGTCACGATGAGAAAATTCCCCACTAAGGCTGTTAAGTAAATGAAGAGGAACACCACAGAATGCAAAACCTGCACATCACGATCATCAGAAAATGCCATAAGAAGGAACTCTGTTGCAGTAGTCTGGTTGTTCATTTAATTTCTTTCTGATATTCTGTGGAGTGAACAGTAAGTTTGTTTAAGATGGAGATTCTGCAAAGGGGAAGCATTTGTTCATGATTACAGAATCATAGTGTGCATATTGAAGTTCAATTGTCATTTTTATTGCCCTTAGAAATATCAAGCATAATTTAAGAATTTTGAGTAAAACAGGTGACATAATATTATGGAATGTAAGTTATTATTTGAGCTACCAAAAAAAGGGGGGGGGGAAAGAAAAAAACCCAACGAACTTTGAGAGAGAGCATAAGTTGTATGATATCACACAGCAAAAGACCATAGAAGTGTGTGCAACCTACTCCACTCTGGATATTGTTGACAGCATCTCTCATCCACTCCCGTGCTCATCCCCATTATATGAAATTATGTGGAAGGCCACAAATTTTTCACTCTGCAGCAAAATATCAGCTACTATGCTAACAATGAAGCCACTAAGTGTTTATAACCTCTGGAACGGTTTAACAGTACTCACATGTTGTGGTTGAGAAGAAGGAAGTGGAAGACTCAGTAGCTTTGAATGTTACAATTGGATTAAAATGGATACAAATGAAAGCATTTTAACCCATGAAAGCATTGGGTTGAAAAATAAAAATCTGATAACAGTTCAAACCATGGTTCTGTCTAGCTCATCTGCAATGATTAGCACCAGTGCTCCAGGGATTTAGACGAGAATCTTTCTCATGCTTTGCTGAAAATACCAGTTTGTGCTCCGTCACTAAATAGCAATCTCAACCGATTGCTGTTGAATGGGCCCAGTTCTTTTCATAAAGAAATCAAAGCACAGATGTTGAAGTTCTTGTCATTTAAAGCTATATTTTGGTTCATCCACACTTTCCTTTCACCACACATTTTCTTGGCACAGTTCTATGTGTCTGAGTCTGTGTGCAAGCTCCCACCCCCTTTTTTTGCCCCACTGCTTTCCCCAGGAAAACTTGCCCTTTCATACTGTATCTGAACAAACAGCAATTTAGGATTTCCATGGAATGTCGTTTGCTCTGATTCAGTGTCAAAGAGTGGGTTTTCGCGGGGAAAGTTTTGGAGCTGGAAAACCCAGGCTTGTGCCTACAAATGTGGAGCAAAGGTAAGTGTGGATGAGCCCTTTTTTGTGTGAAGGTTTTTTAACTGCAACAACTTTGAAGTTAAGAATTAAGAGGCTTACTGCCATGAGCAAACAACTGGATTTCTCTTCCTCTAGAAGTGAAACAAGCTCCAATATTGGTATGTTTTCATTGTTTATGGGAAATTCTTATTTTGTCCCATACTGGTCAAATTAATAAATAAATAATCTGGTGCTTATAGATATACCAGATTTATTTATTTTATGTTTACTTTATACTGCATAAACTGCTGTACAATTTTAAAAAAAAGTCAGAGTGATGTAAAAATAGACTAGGAAACATAATACATATCGTAAAATAATGTTGAAAACATGAAACCAAATGGAATTAAAAGCTTCAGAAATAAAATGGAGTAATATCAGAAAGCTTAGGAATTTTAGTTGTCTATTGACTGCAGAAAGCATCTTAACTGCTAACTGTAGCTACATTCTAACTGTAAATGTCATGCTTCTTTTATTGGGGAAAGAGGTATGATTGTTTAGGGTGCAAGCCACAAACTTTTATAAAACTCATTTCCCATGGTTTATTCATAGCTGACTTACATGGGGCAAGTAGATAAAGTTTATTATGCCAGGCTTGTTGTAAAAGACATTGATAGTTGAAAGCTGGGTGGATTCATAAATGAACATAGGGTTGATGCTGAAGGTGGTCAGGGTCTTTCCATCTTTAGCAAAGGATAGGAATTTGGGAGTCCAATATTGTATTGCTGTTTCACTTTGAAATAATCAGACCTCTCAAGAAACCTGGCTAAATATGAAATCATTCAAAAAAGCTCTTTATGCTCAGTGAGTTGCCTTAAGGGACTTGATCAGTATCATGCTGAGTGATAGCTAGACTATTCTCTTCCTGGCCACCAATGGGCAGCAACTAGGACAATTGATACTGCTGGCCAAGAAGGACAAGAGATTTGCATTTCATTTAAGAGAACATCCATTTAAGTAACATCCAGTAAAATGAAAGGGGTTCACATCAAAAAGATTTCTGGCCACATCAGAATGTTCCTGGCATAGCTGGGCTTTGGCAGTTTAGCTCCCACATCTTATCTCAGGGAAGCCATGATAGTGCCACCCCAGACATTTTTTGGACCACAACTCCCATCATTCCTGACCACAGGCCATGTTGACTAGAGCTAATGGTAGTTGTAGTCCAAAATTTCCAAAAGGCACAACATTGGCTATCTCTGCTCAGTCTTTTCCTGCATTTATGAAAGGTAGTTATTTGCAGTCTTTTGATTCCTTTTTTGAAGGATGCAACTCTATACGGCCCAAACACCACATAAATATATATTTAACCGGCCCATGGACTCTGACCGCCCGCTCAGTCAGCTCCTGTGTGCCATGCTAAACTGGCACGGAGCAGAGTTGTGACCGCCTTTCAAGATGCTGTCTGCCTTCCCATTGGCTTGAGGAAGCTCCTGCAGCCAATGGGAAGCTGCACACACCTCCTCCATGCCAGAAGGAGCACCGGAAATAGCGTTTGCACATGCATGCGTGCGTGCACTCTCACAATTGCACTCCGACCCACCACGGCATCTGTGGGACTGTGAACCGACCCAAGCCACAAAAACTTTGCCGACACCTGCGCTTAGATATAACCCAATCCTTTTGACTTCAGTGGGAGTTACTCCCAAGTAAACATGCATTTGTTTGCAGCCCAAGGTCTAATCTTATGCAGATTTACCTGGTAGTAAGCAGAACTGAAGACAGAGAGACTTGTGTAGGAGTTAACCTGCAAAGGATTGTGCTCTATATCAGGGGTGGAGAAGCTATGACCTTTTATAATTTTTTGAACTGCAAGTGCCATCAGCCCTGATCATCGACCATCCTGACTGGAGTGATGAGAGGACCAGAGGTTCTCACTCACACCATATATTGTTTTTAATGTTACAATGAAAATCTCTATTTATGCCTAATGTTGGTACATGCTTATAAGCAAATTTATTTAATGCTTCTTATGCAAAAAACAAATCCTAAATCAGACTTGTGTACATTGTGTACATTAAATGTAAAGCTTGTGTGTGTGTGTGTGTGTTTGTGATTTTCCTTTCCTGAAAGTTACAAATACAATTCAGTGCTGTTATCATTCTTCAACAGGAGTATGCAAACAAATTTTACGTTTTTTCCCTATCAGCAAAGTGGTGATAACTTGAGAAATCCATTATCGTGATAGTGATGAAATATTATCAGATTAATACTAAAGTTTCAGACATGTTATACTATTGTTAGAAGTGAAATCTTGAACTTGTAGTGTTGTAACCAGACTTAGACATGCTTAGTGCAGATCTATTGCAATCAGTGTGACAGTCATTAGTCATGGCTAACAAAAACCATTTCTTTTTAAATGGCTCTACTCTTAGCATCATTAAATTTTGATCTTTATTTCATTCTGGACATAATTTCATTCTTGACCTTTATTTCATTCTGGACATAATTTATTAAAATGCTCACCTCAATCTGAAGTTGATCCTCTTTGAAGATGGCAGTGCATGTATGCCTGAGACTAAATTATATTTGCAGAAGCATGTGCTTTGAACAGCAGAGTGTTTCATCTCTGCTCCCAATAGTGGTCATAAAGTTGTGAATCACCAAGGTGATCCATAACTTGCATCATGGAGTTGTACCTTGGAGATTTACAATGTCTTAATTTACAATCCTTTCTCTAATTCAACAAAAGAGGCAGAAGATGTAATCTTTTCTTTTAAAAAAGCCATTCACATCATGCTTAGGAGCTTTAACCATTTCACTCTCATTTTTAAGAATTATTTAGCTTAAGTAACTCAGCTGTGAGAAAACAAAGTTGGACTTACTGTGAAATGTCCTTCTAGTCAGTGGAGTGTAGATCATAGAGGCAAGGGCTGCTTTCTCCTGGAGGCAGATTCAAACAGTTTTTGCAAATAACCAGTGTTGGCTGGCCATATGGGGAGGGAAGCTTCTGCTAACTTACAATTCCTACCTAACTTGAACAAATAAGCTGAACAATGGCCTCCAAGTGCAACAAAAATGCCAGGATGGTCAGCAAAACTCTTCAGCCATGACAGCTTCTCACTTGGTCATGGAGAGTCCTGACCAGGGACGGAGATGTGAGGACTCCTTCTCAAAGCCCAGTAAGCACTTACTAGGGTTTGGGGAAAAGGAGGGTGGGTTCTAGGGCCCTGTCAGAGCCCTCACACCTCCTTCCCAAAGGGCTTGTTGTTTGGTTTCATTGCCAGGTACTGGCTGGAATGCAGTGGGAAACTCCACCCATTGAGTGTCCTCCCCATGGGGCTCCATCTTGGCCAGGGAAGGAAGTATGGTCTTTTTCTGGCTTGCCACCATCTTTTCTTCTCTTTTTCCAAAACTATTTTGATTCTGCTCCACTCCTCCACTGATCAAGCAATAAGTATTCTGGACTAATCTGATTTCAAGGGGTACTTCCTATTATAAGCAGTTGTTCTCAAAGTTTATTCTCCATAAAACACTTGAAAATGTGTGTAGGTCTTGGTAGACAACCCCCCCCCCCAATGCTCTTATAGCAATTGCAATGTGCTGTGGTAAATGCTGTATGTTTTTAATTGTATTTTTATTCCTTTTATTTCTTATCTTGCATTCTATTATATTGCATTTTCAGTGCCATAGAATTCAGATGACAAGCATTCTTCTCAGAAACACTTTGGAGTACTTCAATGAAGCTCACAGACAACTAGTGGTCTGCACAACAGAGTTGAGGAACCCTGTTCTAAAATGAATCAATTTATTTAATACTGGCTTCTAAAGCAGCTTTCAATTAAATACAGACAAACTCTCATTTTTCAGGCTCTTCTCCTTTTATTGTTCTTTACAATAAATGAATTGGCTAGAAAAAATAAACTAGTCCAATTAG